TGCTAGTTCATTTTTTATCTCTTCCCACAGCCCCCCACTGGAACTGGTAAATCTGGTCCACCTTGTTCCAGGGAGCATAGGTTGTATAGCAGCAGAAAAGGGAAACAAGCAATGGCAGTAATCTGCCCCTGGCAAAGGTTTCTTAATGTGGCTTCCACTATCCTGGCCCTGTGGGGATCATCAAATGTAGTGGAGCATTCTCAAAGAATGCCTCCTAGTCCAAGTCAAGCAGGGAGCAAAGCTGGGGAGCAAACATGAAAGACTTATTCTGGGACTGTAAGTGCTCTCTCTCAAAGTTATATTTATCATCAAAAGGCATGCTAAATGAGGACAGGATGATAGCCTGAGAGACTAGAATGGGTAGGGCAGGATTGGTGCAGCTGCCAGGGGTATCATGGCCATCCTTGGAGGTAGGTCCTCTTACACCGAGGTCTAGGTGGGCATAAGTCTGAAATATCAAGCTGAACATTGATATTAGAAGGTGTGATTAAAGCAAACATCTGATCTAAGCTAGGATATCCAAGAGGCCTATGAGGTCCAAGATAGGAACAGAAGCTATCAGGATCATGAACAATTACGAATGGGCAGGAGGATTCAGAAGTAGAGTTCATAGAGTCATATTTAGGAGTTCCCAGCAGGCCAGAGGCACAGCAAGGCAGTCTGTTGCTCAGGAAGCTCTCTTCTGTCTGGTCTGACTTTATATAGTCAGTGTGACAAAGGCCTCTCCCTTGAGGGATGACTCATTACCTCTAGCTGGGTTCTGGGAACTAATAAGCCCCAGCTGGGCCTTGGCTAAGGACAAGGACAAGGAGTCATTGTCAATATAAAGGAAGATTGATATATTGCATAAGAAGAACCGTGTAGAAGGACCATGCCCTAGGAGTGGCTGTGACACCTCCTGGTGGCCAGTCAACTCCTGCCCCCCTCCAGCTCCTCAGAGTACCCTCCCTTTTCTACCCCACCTGCCATGTGTTCACGTGTCCATCCCTCCACCGTCTATAATCCACGTGCCAGGCTGGCACCAGCTACAGCCTCTGGTGCTAAATCATGGCCCTCCTGGCCCTATCTGTGCCTCAGGGAACAAGCTATCTTAGAGAAGGATAATTGTGACCTCCATCCTCCCCTACAGCCATGCACATACCTTGCAGGTATTACTCAGTATCACTTCTGAGTGGTCCCGCTTTCCCCACTCCCCCCACCCCGACTCCAATGCAACCTTTGTCCCCTCGGGCCTCAAACCATTGTTGGGGCTTCAGCCTTTCCAGTTTTAGCCCCTTTGCTTTGGCTGTGCCCCCACAACCTAGATCCAGTGCCTTGGACCTTGGCTTCTGGACCCCAGCCCCTGGCCCTGGTCGCACCCTTCTCAGGCTGCCTGGCCTCCTTGGGTCCCTGACCCAGGCAAATCTGTTCACATGCCACTCATCCCTGTTCTGGTCCCTGACCCTTGAAGAGATCTATGCTGGATGTCTCTTAGGTGCTACTGTACCCCTCATACCACCCCTGTAGCCACAATCCAATCCTTCAGTGTTAGTATACTGTACAAATAAAACACTTCCTAACTAAAATGTATCAACACTCTAGGCCAATGCCCCCATTCCAAGCTATACTTTCCCCTTATCTGTCTCCATCTAGCTCCCTTGGGTAGCTTGGGTGTCAATGGGCTGGTTTCCTGAAGCCCCTCTCTCTTCCAGGAGCCCCTTTCCCTGCAGCCTGCCAGGCCAGACTGCCTTCCTAATTCCAGACACTGGTCCATTATGCCAATAAGAACTACCTCTTTCATCAGGTGGCCCCTCAGCTACCCACAGGAGTTTCCCCTTTGCTTAATGGCAAGCATACCATCTGCAGCAGTCCTGCACAGCAAGCTCAGCCCACTGCACTCTCCACTTAAAGTCACAGGAGCCTCTGGCTCCCTGTCACAAACAGGATGTCATTAAGAACTGGAGTAATCAATAGATGAAATTCAATATACACAGTGGGTTTCATCCACACGTGCACTTTACTGCAGAGCTAATTAGTTAGTTCGGCAGTAAAGTGTCACTGTCTACACGTGTACCAGTATTAGGGTGCAGAAAGTTAATTAACTCCTCTGTAGGATAGTATTGTTGGGGACAGTACTATCCTATGGCAGAGTAATTACATGTGCTGAAATGCATGTGTAGACAGTGACTAAGGTGGCTGGGGTATGAGGGTGCTAAAGTCCAAGGGTTGCCTGCTGCATGGCTCTGTACTTTAGCACCCTCATGCTCTAGCCAGCCCCGACATCCCCACCCAGAGCCTGGGGCTGAACCCCAGATCTCCTGCCAGCCCAGGGCTGCTCTGTCACGGCTCAAGGTGCTGCATATGTAGACACTGCACCTGGGAGCAGCTCATTCTGGTTCCAACTGCACTGAAATTTCTTTTGTCACCTTAATAGCATGTGTAGATGTACCCAGTGTAAGTGTAAATTCACATAATAAGAAATTAATAACAAAAAGTTCTACTATTAGCCTGGAGTTTATCAGCTGAAACTGGTTCAGGAGAAGGACATGAAGCAACTGATCACAGAAAAACTAGTAGGCAGCGATGTACAAGGTATCAACAGCAAAGTACAAGGGCCTTTAATACTACATACAATTCTGATGACTCATGTTCAAGACAGTTTAACTGAAACTGGAACAGGTACAGAGAAGAACTACTACAATGATTAGGAAAATGGTGAGCCTATTATGAAACAGGAGTTGAGGACATATCTACACCATGACAAATATCCCAGATGGGATGATCCCCACACCTGCTTCCACTTCCATACTCCAAACCCTGAAAATACTTTAGCAGCATTCCTGAGGCTGTTGTCAAGACCGTATTCTCTTGCTTACTTGAAGGTGACCACTGGTGATGAACAGGGATCCTGGTTTTGTCTGATAAAAAAAAATCCCCAATTTTCAGATTAAAAAAATAACCCAAAATCCACATTTTTCCATGATCAAAATGAAACACACCACTATATATATCTATATAGATATAGATAGATATTTAGTGGTGTTTCATCTTGATCATGGAAAAATATGGATTTTTGGGTTACTTTAACCTGAAAATTGAGGATTTTTTTTTTCCAATCAGAGAAAACCAGGATCCCAGGTCATGGTCCTGGTCACGCCTTACTGGCATATATTCCTGTTGGGAATGTATGAGGAAGAGTGGGTGCATCAGGTATACTTGGAAATATCCCAACTGAGACATGCTGAAGTTACAGTGTAGACATAGCCTGAAAGAGCTTGGCTTTTTTAGCCTTGCCAAATGAAGACTGAGTGAATACATGATTGGGGTTAATACATACATAAGGAGGAGTGGGATAGACAACATGGAGAAATGAGAGATGTTGAAACTAAAGCAGAATCTTGGCACAAGAACAAATGGGAATAAACTGGCCATGAAGAAAAAAAATCAGAGGAGAAATTAGGATTTTTTTAACTTTCATAAACACGAGATTCTGGAAGAGTCCTTCAGTTAGAGTAATAAAAGCAAAAAGAAACAAAAATAAATCTAACTAGCTTTGAGATGCAGCCTGATCAATTGCTGAAAGGGATTTTATTATATGGATGCTTGAAATAGGCAACATGGCTCAGAGAGACAGTTGGTTGGATACAGTACTGTGTTCTTAAGAAGTAGGGTAAATCCATGGATTTTTCAGTTTGGTAGGGTAAAAAAAGATCAGAGAGTGGGAAAAAAATCCATAGATGATGAATATTTTTTTGTACTGGATTTCACCAAGAAGATAATGGGGAATTACTGATCCTAGACTTCTGAAGGTGAACTGGTGTCAGAAGGGTATAAAAAAGTGCTGAAACAACTTGACAAATTAAATTGCAATAAATCACTATGATTGGATGCTATTCATTTGAAAGTTCTGAGGGAACTAAACAAAATAACTGAGCTATTAAACATATGTAATTTATCATTAAACACAGCTACTAGATCAGAGATTTGGAGGGAAGCCAATAGTATACTGTATTTATAATTCAAATTGGTACTTGGGGTGATCCTGAGAATTGTAGACTGAGAAATCTTGCTGCAGTACCACGAAAACTAGTGATTATTAAATGCATTTCTAAAGGGCTTGTCACTCTTAGTATTTCACATAAGCTAAAACACTTAAAGAAAATGAATAGTTTTCTATCCAGAATCTTTTTTTAAGCAACAATTGGTGAAGTGTATTTCAACCTAGCACAAGAACCAAAAAGGAAAAAAATCTAAACAAAGGTCAAGTATAACCAATGATATCATAGTACTCTACACTACACCAATGCACTAAGACCCTATTATTAAAAGATTTACTCGTGTTAATTTTATATGTTGATTTCAGTAAGCCATGCAAAAAGTCAAGCACATGCATTTTGTTACTTATCATTTGTACTACCATAGCACCTCCAAACCTAATTGTGGCCTGGACTCCATTATACTGGGCGTTTCAGAAACACAGAATGAGAGGACAAGGTTTGTATAAAAGTAAAACGAAGACATCATATATGGACCAAAAGGCAGACATGGGAAGACAAGACAACACTGAACAGTACACTAGGCCGAAATGTTGGTACACCAGTGGCTTAACTGTTTTTGTAGAGGTAAGAGACAAGGAGAGTTTTAAAGCAGAATGGAAGGAGGACTTTGTACATATTTACAGGGAGCTCCTCCCAGGTGTTTGTTGTGGGGGGGGGAGCAGCCTGAGATAAAACATGAAGATGCTTATTTGAAAATGTGAAAAAGCGGCTGATAAAGACTACCATCACTGACTAATCAGAGCCTTGACAAGGTCAAGGGCAAAACCTTTAACAAAATCACATTTGGCTTGACCATACTATTGCCCTAGACACGTGTGTCAAAGGATGGGAAATAACAGCATAGAAAATAGCTTAAACTCTGACCTGTTAAAATATTTTATGTGTAGACACATGAAAATATGTGTAACTAAATTTAGGGGGAGATTATAAATGCTCTATTTATACTGGTGGATGGTTACTCACACAAGTAGTTCTGATGACTTCAGACCAATGTCCATCTCAATCCTTTTCTTCCAGTTAACCAATTTCTGTAGGTAAGAAACAAAACAATACTGGCATTGTGAGGTTAGGCTGCATGTATAAATATAAGGAATAATGGTGTACAGGTTTATTTAACAGTGTGTTTTACACGGTGCACCTGATTTTTTTCAAAATGTGAATATTGGACTGGAAGATAAGTTTATAAAGTTATGTTATATAGAATTATATATCATAGATATAATTGCATTGAATTAAACACAAATGAATTACTTGAACAACTACTCTGACTTCACCTATGAAATACTGACCATGTCAAGATTGCCAACCAAAGAAGTATACATTGGAGGATGAATGTCTAGGATGTGGGTGCAGTCAACACATGGTTGACAAAAGTACATAAAAGGTTGATTCTTCATAACTTCAGTGAAGCACTTCAGGAATCTAAAACCAGCAGTAATATTAAGTGTACTAAATGTCAGGGGTGCCAAAGCTCTGTATCATAGCAAGACAAAACAGCATTTGAAAGGCAGCCATGCTTAGTGGTTATGGAACTGGGCTAGAAGTCAAGAGTTCCATTTCTGTCTTTGCCACTGATCTGATTTGGGCTGTAAGTGCAGGTTTACCCAACAAAGAATCGCTCACATAGCTTTGTCAAGGACAGTGAACAGATTGCACCTTCCAGCCAATAGTTATACTGACAAAATTCCTGTGTAAGATTCTTAAAAAGGTGCTTCATGTCACTTTAAGTGTAATCTAATTACACTGGTAGAAAAACTCCTTCCTGTGACATATGTTTCATGCCCACTAGGGGGTTCTGCCAGCATGGCTGCAATGGCATAGCAACTATTGAAGAAACTCTTTGGCTAAGTACAAACAGTCAAAAAGTCCGAGCCTGAACCAGTTCAGTCTTTGTAGGTTAGCCTAAGCTATGGAGACTGAATCAGCAAGCAAACGAACAGACATTCACATTTAACTCAGGAAATGCAGGCATATGCCTTCAGTGGCTCAAGCCAGAAACCAGGGGGTGCTACAGCACACCTCCCAACCTGCCAGCTCCAAGGCTTTTCCCCTCTCCCTGCTCCAGTGGAGGGGGCATGGCCAAGCCCCAGCCCAGAGCTGCTTGAGGGCCTGGGAGGGGGAGAGGGGGCAGCGCCTTCTAGGCTGAGGAGAAGATGGGTGGGGAAAATGGTAGTGGCACTTAATTCATAAAAGCTTGAACAAGAATAGTCCTTTCTCTGAAGCGAGCATGTATTGAACAGAAGGGAATAACCCTGTGGAGTCCTACTGGCTGTGATCATGGACTACAAATCCGAAAGGTACCTGGGAGCAGGAAGAGGAAGTGATGAGCAATCCTGCCGAGTCCCACTGCTTTGGGTCTGGACTGAAAATCCCAGAGACCTCAGGGGCAGCAGGAAGAGGAAGTAAACACACAGCCTCTGCTGGGGAACTGTAATTTAACTTGAACCAGGAAGGTATCTGGGACAGAAGTTTTATAAACCGGTCTGACCCAAATCAGTTAAATCAGATACTACATTCAACCAGGTTTATCTTAAACCAGTTTAAGCCATTTTCAAACTGGTTTATGTGCACTGAGCTTCTGTTCCATTACAGGTTTAAACCAATTTTTGAAGATGTGAATCATTTCACTCTAACAGGAAGTCATATCCAGTTCCATGTAGACTGTGCTATAAATGTGATATCTCTATATGACAGCATAGCATCAAAAAAGAAATATATATAATTAAAAAGACCTCAACACTTCAGAAACATAAATCATCATGATTTTCATATACTGCTAGGACAAGTGAAATGTTATCTTCTCCTACAGTGATTTAACTGAACTTTTACTTGAACAAGAATTCACACGCAGACTGCAAGCTCTGTAGTAATTGTAGTATAGATGGCTTCTGTTGCACAGGTCTGTAAGATTAACTGACCTATTGAAATGCATTTCCCTGTTAAGAGGTCTGATTAACCAGGGCTGGCCAAACTAGTCCCAGTCACTATCCAAATGTGACATCTTAACTCAAGGGTGTTTCACTGCAAAGTGATAAAGATGCCAGGAAGTAGCAAACATACAAAGAGGAAGAGGGAGGACAGGTGAGAAAAGTCTAGCATTCAAAATTGTTGCTAGAAGAAGTAGTGCATGCTAATAAACAGTATAATTGGGACCTTTCTCTGCATATCCTAATACAGAAATTGGTTTATCAGAAATTAACAAAGTTTAAACCAAGGATTTAAACTGTATCTAAGCTTTTAGTGTGGTTCAGGAAGACAGCTAAAATTCCAGTCACACTAAAAACAGAACTGCTTTGGAACCAGGTCAGGAGACAGTGATGTTGTAACTGACTCAGTTGTAATTATAGTATAGATCAGGCCCTGACTCCATTGCAATTGTACAGTATGATAGACTTGTGCATGAACTAAGTGTAGGAGTCTTGGCTAGAGCAAGACAAATTCTAATATCATAAACATAACATTAAAAATTATAATTACAGATACATCATTTAAGTCCTGGGATGTAACAGGCACGGACTGATTTCTGATGACCTAGAAGTGACTGAGTCAGCTCTGGAGTGTTTAATGAAGCAGCTGGACTACATTTGTTGCATTTTGCCAGCACTGAAAAACGTGCCTACTTAGTTATGCATTTCCTATAGATGTGTGACAGTTAACAGTTATGCCGAGGCATTGTTGTTAGCTGCAACAGCACATGAGAGCACAGCAGATCTTGGGGCTTGATCTGCAAAGGGTCTTGAGCCCCTGGTTTCTGTAGCAGAATTCAGCCCTCTATAGGTATGGACACATACATCTGGAGCCATTTCAAAAGGGGAGCTGCTGATCTGGAGTGTATAGTAGCTCTTATATTATAACCATTGTGTATGGAGAAGCTGGGAATAATTTGATGTAGCAAAACTGTAAACCTGGATGAAGCTGGAGTTGTTTTGCTGCATTTCTATCATTCCCAGTCAGTCCACATGAAACTGTTAGACTGTACCAGTTGTTGGATGATCATTGATTAGGAGTAAGAATCCCCCATTTCATAGACATTAGGGCAGGAAGGGACCTTGCAAGATCATCTGATCCAGCCCCCTGCCCAAAGGGCAGGAAGTCAACTAGGGTCAGATGACCCCAGTAAGATAAGCATCCAAATATTCTCTTGGATAATGTCATCTCTCCTCTTTTGAAAAGTCTCCAAAGGTACATTTGTCCATACCCTGAGTAAGGTGCCTGAACTCACTGTACAGTGCATGAGGACATTTAGGCACCTCACAATGAGATGCCTTAGAAAGCTTCTCCCCAAGCAGGGAGACCAGTGGAGAGAGGAGTGTATCTTAAATTCTTTTCAGGCACACACACACCAAACTGAACTACAGGGAGGCATTTTAATCAGGCTGAAATTCATAGGACAAACCCCTCTGGAATTAGGTATCCAAGTGACTTTCCTATTTTGGACATTGCAGTAGTGGCACTCATTATGGAAAAACTCAGGGGTTAGAGCACGCACCCAGGAAGTTAGACCTTGGTTCTAGGCCCTTCTTAGCCCAAGAGGTTTAACCCTTCATCTCTCATTTCCCACAACAGTGCATTTGTCACCAGTTATAGACTAAGTCAGGTAGAGGCACTGCTCCTGAATCCATGCCAGTGGGAAGATTCATAGGGCCAGAAAGAAAAAGAAAATAGCACCATAGCTTGGCAGTTAGAGTATTAATGATGGAAAAGGAAAATCTAGCCTGTGCATTTTATATTAAACAGTCATTGGAGCTTACATTTTAGGTAGAAGCCCAAAAAAAAACAACAGATGGATATAGACAGATGGGGGAGTACAAGGAAACAATAAGCCATCTCTAACTCTCCTCCGTTTTTGAAACATGTTATTGTTTCCTCTATCATCCAAAATTCTCTCTTGACCCCACATCCCTCTACAAGTGCCAGCCCATATGCTTCCTTATCTTGTCTCCATATGTCTTAAACATGCAATCTGATCCCACTGCCTCTGCTTCTACTCTCCCAGATACCACCTCAATCTCCCTAAAATTTACAGTCTGCCTCATTTACTCCATTGAAATAGCTTATACCAGAGTCATCAGTGACCTCTGGCAATGCATCCTTTCCATCCTTTTCAGTGTGTCTGGCAACATGCTTTCTCCTCTCCTTCTTCCTTAGGCTTCAGGGACTGTGTCTCCAGCCATGTCCACTCTTCAGGGGCTCATAGATTCATAGATGTTGGGGTCTGAAGGGACCTTAGCAGATCATCGAGTCCAACCCCCTGCCCTGGCCGGGAAAGAGCGCTGGGGTCAGATGACCCCAGCTAGGTGTTTGTCTAGTCTCCTCTTAAAGACTACCACCTCCCTTGGAAACCCATTCCAGATTTTGGCAACCCTCACTGTGAAGATTTTTTTCCTAATGTCTAATCTAAATCTGCTCTCCATCAGTTTATAGCTGTTGTTCCTAGTAACCCCAAGAGGTTCCCCTATTCCTTCCTGCCCCTTTTCCCCACCCCCCAAGAATTTGTAGACAGCCACAAGATCCCCTCTCAGCCTTCATTTGCTGAGGCTGAAGAGATTCTTCTGAGGCTCTTCCTGTCCACTCTCCATACATGTTACTTAGAGTTTTATCCTGGTCTTCACCCTCACCTCCATCTTTTCTCCTTAGGCAACCTTATCTACTATTAAAGCTTCAAATGCCACACTCTCTAAAATGATGACTTACAGATCTACTTCAGAAGACTTCTTCCCCTCTAGTTGGACTAACAGCTCAACATGTTAAATCTCTCCTACCAAACCAGCTTTCTTTCTCAAGACCATTAAACATTAATTCTGACCTTTCTCCTGTGCTTCCAGTTTACAGTGCTGTCTTTTTAGCTCCATCCCTTTTCTCCCCAAATTGCTACTGTTGCTAAGTTTTGCCATTTCTTCTATACCTCCCAAATATGTCTGCTGGTATCCATTGACTCCAGTATCTCACTTTGCTGGACCTAATCACTTCTAAGTTACTCAAGTGTCCTGCTTTCTGGCCTCCTACTTCAGTCCATCCAAAATATCAA